CTTTTGCCTCCAATCGATTACATTTTCAAGTCCTCTTCTTACCTTTTTTTCACCGTTTTTCATCCCTTCACTGCACAAAATTTAGTTTTCTACATTTCATATAATTTTTTCCTGTTATCTAAAATAAAGAGTAAAACTATCTTCCAGCCTTTTACTGCCCTGTTAAAGCAGCAAATTAAATTAAAGTTGCGCTTCAATTCAATTTCCCCAAAAGGTGAACTGGGTGAGCTGCTGCTGTTCTGCCGCCCGGATAGATTCAAAAAGTTGCTTGCCAGCCTGCGAGCCGCCACTCCATCGGCGGCCACTAGATGGTAGCGGCGTAGCGGCGGCTCACAGCTGCTGCAGACAAAAAGTGCGATTCTCTTCACCGGCAGTTCACTGCCACTTTGCCAGTCTCTTCTAGCCTATTCTTTGGCCGCACTTCTGTCTGTCACCCGAACACTCCCCGGTGGCTTACCGGTGATACCTCCGTACCTGGTCTGATTCACCAAGAACTGATTACCTGAAATCTCACTCTCTCTGAAGGGTGACTGCCCCCACCCACCCGCATCTCTTCTCTCTGCTGACGTCGCTCTGTTGATCGGCCAGGCAGTTGGTGCGAGTAACACGTGCTCCTACCAGGCAAGTGACACGTCAATGTTAGCGTAAACACGCTATCGGCTTTCATTTGGGATATCATTTGTCCACTTGTGATTGTCGGCGATTGACTGCTGCTCTGACGCTGCCTGCCAGCACTCTGCCACTACTTTTTGATGACGCTAATCCGTTTCTACTTGAACAACAACACACAATTCCCACACACAACTCCTCAGGTCGCGACACATATGGCCGTGCGTCTGTAGTCGTAGACGTAGAGAGAGATCGCTCCACTGAACGAACTGAGTCTGGTCATCCTGGAACCACTTCATTCCCCATCTTCGCCACTTTTTTATTTATTGTCTTCAGCATAAGGGAAGAGAGGAAAAAATGAAGCCAAGTCACTTTTTATCGAGTTTTTGTTTACTGGCCGCACTTCTCTGCTGTCTGCCCAGCAATGGTAAATGTTGCAGGTGCTGTGCTGATTGATTTCATGTTTAACGATACTTTTGTTTCCTAATTAGTCTCTTCGGTGGCGGTCATGTCCATCGATCTGGGCTCAGAATGGATGAAAATTGCCATCGTCAGTCCAGGTGTCCCCATGGAGATCATCCTCAACACTGATTCTCAACGCAAAACTCCACTTGTGGTCGCATTTAGGGACGGTGAACGCTTCATAGGCGATGCTGCCTTAACCGTGGGAGTTCGCTTTCCGGAGAAAACTTTTACTCATTTTCTTGATCTGGTGGGCAAAAGTAGCCTCAAGTCGGTTGCAGCGCAAAAGTACAAGGAGCGCTTTCCATATCACAACCTGGTTGAAACGGAAAATGGTCAGCTTGCTTTTGTGCTGAAAGACAATGGCCAGGAGGTTCAGTACACGCCGGAGGAGTTGCTCTCGATGCTCCTCTCCAAGGCTCGTACTTTTGCCGAAATTGCCTCGGCTTCATCATCGCAAAGTGGACAGGCCCAAATCATCACCGACTGTGTTCTCACTGTGCCTCCGTACTTCTCGCAAGCCGAACGACGTGCACTGAAAGATGCCGCTAATCTGGCTGGACTTAAAGTTCTGCAGTTGTTGAACGCCAACACGGCGTTTGCTCTAAACTATGGCGTCTTTCGCCGTAAAGATTTCAACTCGACACCAACGAACATTCTACTGTACGACATGGGCGCTGGTGACACCGTCAGCACCATTGTTAGCTTTCAAGTCGTCAAAACCAAAGAGCGCGGCTTCACCGAATCCAATCCCCAACTCAGTGTGAAAGGTTTGTTTTTTTATAATTGTCAATGTTCTTTGACTTTAATATCTGTCCACTTAAACCACAGGCGTTGGTTACGATCGGTATTTGGGTGGCTTTGAATTTCAACTGCGACTGCGAGATCATTTGGTGAAGCTGTTTGCTGAGCAAAGCAAGAAGACAGTTGACGAAATCAGCAAAAACAAGCGAGCTATGGCTAAGCTGTTGAAGGAGGCTGGCAGACTGAAGAAGGTGCTGTCTGCCAACAATGAACACAAGGCTCAGGTGGAGAACGTCATGAACGACATTGACCTGAAGGCGATTGTCACTCGAGAGCAGTTTGAAGCCCTTTCCGCTGATTTGCTGAATGAGCGTGTCACAAAGCCACTGGACGATGTTCTCCAGAGTTCCGGCTACCAGCTAACGGAAATTGATTCGTTTATTGTCATTGGTGGCGCCACTCGCATTCCAAAGGTTCAGCAGCTTCTTCAGGAGTACTTTTCGCGGGAGCTCAGCAAGAATATAAACGCCGACGAAGCTGGTGCCCTCGGTGCCGCCTACCAGGCTGCTTACTTGTCTAAAGGTACTGTGTTTTTTAATTTTGATCTATATGTTTGCGCTTCTATTGAGCTCAATAATTCAGTTTACACACTTTCATACTTATTGAGTTCCAACGGAGCGCTAAATTAGGTGAGCAAGATCTAACCAGTCTTGTTTACGCTTTTTAGAGTTGACATTTCTGCTTTCAACAAATGCAACATGTCTTAGTACAAAAGCTAACAGATCAATTTGTTTCAATATTTTACAGGGTTTAAAGTCAAGACATTTCATGTGAAGGATGCTAACCTGTTCCAGATCAATGCCGATTTTGATCGTCTCAATGATAGCGGCGAAAAGAAAACCGTCAGCCGAGCTTTGTTCGGTCGGAACAACCTTTATCCGCAGAAGAAGGTCATCACCTACAGTAAGCACAAGGAAGACTTTGACATTATGGTCAACTACGGTGAGCCAGTTCCACAGGACAGCCCGAAGAGCATTTACAAGGTTGGTAGAACAAACAGCCAATGAAATGTCGACCATTTCTAATTTTGACTTTTTCAACTAGGTTTCACTGAAAAACATTGCTCCAGTTTATGACAAGTACACTGGCAATTCGAGCGTAGAGGCGAAGGGAATCAAGGTGCACTTCAGCATGGATGAGAGCGGCATTCTCTCGGTCACCAATTCGGAGGCACTTTTTGAGGTCGAGTACGAAGAGGTTACCGAGTCGGATCAGTACGAAAATCTGAGTGAAGCTGTTGGCGATGCCATTTCCAAGTTTGGCAGTACCATCTCAAAACTTTTTAGTGGAAATGAAGAGGTAAGTGTTTTCAACATTAATTTTTTCTTTACCCTTGCACCTAGTTTACCAATATTTAAGGTTTTGTAGCTTTCGAATACACGTTTGTAAACTTTGAATTTAAACTCGGTGCAAAATTACGCTAATTAGTTTATCACTAATTAATGCTTTCAGAGTTGACACTTCTGCTTTTTTATTTATGCAAAATGTCATAGTTAAAAGGCTAACAATTTTCACTTTATTTTACTAGGCTGGCAACGAAACTCAAAGTGAAAATGCAACAACTACCGAAGAGGCGACGGCTCAACTGAACGAAACCAAAACTGATTCAGAAAAGAAAGAACAAGAAAAGCCTGATGTTAATCAGACTGAATCGAGCAACTCTACTACAACGAAGCAAATTAAAAAGGAGTTGAAAAAGAAGACTGTCAAGGAGGAGATTTCCTCTGTTATTGATATCCTCGACATTGTTCCGCTGCCGGCAGATGTCCTCTCCGCATCAAAGGATAAGCTTAAAAGTCTAAACGAAAAGTAAGTTTGACCATTCTATTTTACGCTTTGAGCTATATTATTTGTCTTTTCACTTTACAGAGAGATTGCAAAGCTGAAGAGAGATCAAGCCAAGAACACTCTCGAGTCGTTCATCTTGGAGACTCGTGACAAGCTGGAGCAGAATGAGTTTGCCAGTGCCACCACCGACGAGGAGAAGACCAAAATTGAAAGTGAGCTGCGCACCGCTTCCGACTGGCTGGAGTACGAATCGGATGGCGCCGATGCAGCTGTGTTTGAGGAGCAAATTAAAAAGTTGGCTTCCATTACCAATGAGCTTTTTAACCGCGTTCGTGAACACCGAGAGCGACCTGAAGCGCTGGGCGCTCTGCGCAACATCCTCAACATTAGCGACATGTTCCACTCTAATGCAATTAATATGAGCGAAGACGACCAGGTGTTTAGCCAAGTGGAGCTAACTAATCTGCGCGTACTGGTCGACGAGACACAGACGTGGATGGAGGAATCGGTGAAGGAGCAGGCCCTTCTCCCCGCCAACGTCAACCCTACAAAGCTGACTCTACGAGCAATCGCCGAAAAGACTGCCGCCCTCGACCGAGAGGTCAAGTATCTTCTCAACAAGGCACGAGTCACCCCGCCTAAGAAGAAGCCAAAGAAGGAAGAGTCGAAAAAGGTATTCTTAATTGCTTTATTGACATTAGGGTGTTCTAACCCTGCGTTTTTATTTAGGATGACAACTCAACCGACCCATTGGATGCTTCCGATCCGCAGACTGAAGAAACAACTGAAGACCAGCCGACTAATGAGAGTGAAAAGTCGGAAAAGAATGAGAAGGCGTCTGAAAAGCCAGTCGCTGAAGAGGAGGGGGAGAAGATTTCTCCGGAGAAGGTCGTGGACGTTCCCCCCAAGACCGAATTGTGATACTAGTATAAATGAATTTCTTTTTAACCCTAAATAAGGAGTAAAGTTCAAAGGACTGGCACACTTGATACATTAGTCGTTATGATATTCTAATTTATCTAGTATTACAATTTATACATATTTTATTTTTTGCGAATTGCCTGTAAACTCATCTGCCACTTTGAACCTGTCACCAACTAGTGTCTAATAATTCTGACGCTTTTCATCACAATGTCAGCGTGAGTCTGCAGCAATTTGCAGTTTGTACATTTTTATTTGCAATATCTCAATATTTAATTACCATAATTTATTCCAGCCTATCTTGTTTATTCACTTTCTAAACTATCTACCGTTTGCATAAAATATCATTTTTCGTGATCGTCCGAACCTTGATGCGCAAAGTTGTTCAAAATGTTTTCTCAACCCATAGGTATCAACAATCAAAATAAATAACATACTGTACATTTTATTTGCAAGCAAAGGAATATTTACAACAGGAACAACAAAAATACAAGGGACTTGGACAAACAAAATAAAAAATGAAATAAATTGTTTATGGCACTTGATTGCAGTTGCTGTGAGATCATCCGAAAATGGTGGTGTATAGAGTACTCGAGTAGTGTTCAAGGGCCGAGTACCTCTTTTGATGGTATTTCTGTGCTGGCTATTGTTCCGCTGAGGAACAATGCCTGCTGCTGCTGTCAATGGACATGGACATGGTCAGTGGGCGAGTGGGCAGCACTCCGAAGAGATCAGGGTCAGTGTTGCTGTGCTCGGTGCTAGCGGTGACTGAACTCTGGAAGCTGAGCAGGTCGTGGCAGAGGGCACCACCACCACCGCCAATGGCACTGCTGTCCATCGCTTGAGCTGGCTTGTGAATGATGTAGAGGTTGTGATGCTGGCTGCTCTCCATCTCGTACTCCGACAGGGGCTGCAGCTGATCAAAGGCAAATGTGTCCGTCATCAGGTCGGGCAGTGTCGCCCTCAGATCGACGTGCCTCAGTCGGGTGGAGAGCAGCGTGCCCGCCGCGCCCGGGCCCGGACTGTCCTTGCCGCAGCCGCCGCCGTATGCATAGCTCGGATCAAAATTGGCAAGCGTAAATAATTGAATCGATTCCTTCTCAGCGTCAGCGCGCTCATTCACCACCGCCACTTCGTCCTCCATTAGATACTCTTTGGAGCTGGTTGGTTGCGGGTTGGCAAAGTGCCCACAACAAAGTGAGAGAAAGGGAAGGAGAGGGGAAAAGACCATTAAGATATGACAAGGAAAATATGTGTGCGGCGCAAACATGCTGCCGCCGCCGCCGCTCTTATTACCTCAATCCATTACACAAGTCACTGGTGGTAGTGGCGGCGGTGGTGGCGGTGTTGGCCAGTGGCTCGGTGATCATCTGGTGATGACGCGAAAATCGAACATGCGGCTTCTTGCGCCGCCTGCTGATGTGCAGCCGAGTGAGGACGAGGAGAATGAGAGTGACCAGCAAGGCGATGATCAGGAGAAAGGCCGCCGTCCAGATGAGCGGCAGCTGGGAGATGGTCACCGAGGTGGTGAAGGAGGCGGCGCTGGTGTCCTTCGGCTCCTTCTGCGACTCATTTGCCGGGTTCACCGCCAGCTTCTTCTGGTACCGAGAGATGGACAGATTGTGGGCAGTGGCGGTGGCGTAGCTGCTGGAGGTGGCCGTCTCCGGCAAGTCAAGATCATTGTCGAATCGGTCCATCTGCTCCTTGATAATTGCATTCGTTTCCGGTTCAATAGGCACTTTGAAGGAAAGGCTCACGTCACTGGTCAGTCGACCGTCGACCAGAGCAGAGATGAGCATCATGTACAGCGACTGGTCGACGCTCTCATTCAAATGACTGGCCGAATTGGTCGTCTCCAAATGAGCTGAATCGGCGGCGTCTTCCGTCATGACGTTTGGTGCTCTATTGAGTGCACCTGATTTGAACTCACTCTGCTGCAGCTCATCAACAGCCAGAAGAAAGTTTGGCTCAGTGGAGGTGATGTTGATTAGTTGTCGCCTAAACAAAAGAAAATGTTTTAAAAAGCTATATTTAGCAACAAATCAACTAATTTGAAGAGCGACGTACTTGTCCTTAAAGATTTTCAAGTTGAAGAGAACATTTCTCGGCGGTTGAGCGATGACGTTAAATGAGCGATTCGCCGGCTCCGCCTGCACCTGAGCTGATGGCTCAGAGGTAGTTATCGGCTCTGGTTGGCATTGCACTTGAATGATCTGCGAAGAAATGTTGCTCTCGCAGAGCAGTTGTTGCTTGATGGTGTTCTCTGTATGTGTGTTAGAAAGTGAATGACCGTTTGAGCGTATTAGCAATTGGCAATAGTCATCACTGCCGCCTCTTTTCACCACCAACAGAATCAAAGGAGAGCGACTGGTCTCACAGTTGTCCTTTCCTTACACTTTTCCCTAATTAATCACGCTTTGAGCACCCATTAGCCGGCAACTTTCATTGAGTCAATTAAATTAATTTATGGTCCGCCATTTACTGATTCGAGTAGCACCGCTACTGCCTCTTCAGACCAGTCAGGCCTCTCAAGCCAATAATGTGTCTAGCCGCACACTGTTCCACTCGACTAATGCCTTGTTTCAGTCAAAGTGCAAGGGAGTTTCCCTGTCTGAAATACTACCAACCTTTGCAAATTGTGTACATTTATTTAAATTTTCTTACTCTCACCGAGTAAAGTCGTTTTCTGCTTCCTGCAATGTCTTTATTGTCTTTATTCTCGACAGTGGACTCATCAACTCAAAGATTGCTATTCGTTTGCCGAGAATGTAAGCCAATTTACTTATTCCTGCATTTTGCTGATGTCATTTATATTAAACACAAAATTGTCTTTCTGTAATGAGAACACACTCGCTCTACGACTTCTCTCATCGGGTGGTCACGTCCAGTGAAAAGCAAACAGTGAAAACAACGCACCAAAAGTCAAAAAGTCATCCTATTGTTGCTTCCATAACACAATATTGCATAAACTGTCAAATAACTTTACCAATTGAAAAAAACTTACCGTAAACATTGTAGAAGCAAGGCTCATCTTGGACGCCTGCAAGGTTTTGCGCATAACACAAGTATTGACCAAAGTTGTCTCCACTTTCAATTTGAATCTCCAGTCTACTCTTCATTGCACGGTCGGTGATATGCACATGATGGCTCATTTGACGGAAGGACGACTGACCTCGAAGATCACGGAGGTCCTTGTGCTTGGACTGCCAGAAAAAGGTGACATTCGCAGGATTTGCTTCTACATCACAAATCATTGTTACCAGACTGCCCACATTGGCGGGAATAGTCTGCATCGGGGTAATACACTGAGGTTTATCTAAAAAAATTTAATTTTAGTCATTATCAAATGAAAACCATTTTTTGGTTTAACAATAACTAGTATTTGTGATTTTTTAATAAGCAATATTTTGACTAAAGCATCGTCTCTTGGCTGCACTTAGCAGACACACAAAAGTATAGCTTCAAATGATGGTTTTTANGTGATTTTTTAATAAGCAATATTTTGACTAAAGCATCGTCTCTTGGCTGCACTTAGCAGACACACAAAAGTATAGCTTCAAATGATGGTTTTTATTTTTTCAATAGGCACTTTAAAAGAATAATAAAAAGAATTAACGCCAAGGGTAATAAAAAAGGCAAAAATAAATCAAATTAGTAACTTTGCGAAAAGGAATGCAGTGTTGCAAATGGTTTCTCGTAAGGAAGTAAAAAACGTAATGAAAATTATGTAACGTCAAGCAATGGCAATGAAATCAAATTTAAAATGGCATTTTAAAAGAAAGCAAACTCAAAGCAAAGAGATGGTACCGAGAAATAAATGAGTGAAGAGTGCCAAATCTGAGAAAAGTGCTCTAAAAATCAAGAAGACGAACAAAACAACAGAACGCTAGTAGTAAGAAAGATTGGTCGAGTGGAAAGCAATCACGTTCATAATCTAAAACTATTAATAATTGCCGCACGGGCAGCATCAAGCGAAACAGAAGAGAAATAGAAAAGATTAATAGCACGAAGAGCAAAAGCATTTGTGCACTAATATTTAAATAAAAATAGAGTAAATTCGACATGAGTAGGTCAGTGGTGGCGGTGGCAGTGGATTCACCCTGGCCAGTTTCGATCATGTCCTGCTCTGTCTTTCTGCCGAGTTTTCCTTTCACCGGCGTTCAGCATCCAGTCAATATGGAGAGGAGTAATTGTTTGGCAACTAGGCGCGACAATCAATTACTAAGGGATTGGCTACTACCATTTCGGAGCTCAGTCTCTAAATGCCCAAGTCTGCTAATGTCTGCCGTTCCTTGAAGGAGTCCTCCAAGTGTCTTCCGATCGGGTGCATCGGTGTACATCGACGACGACGACTGCTGCAGCTACTGCTGACAGAGCAGTGCATGCACTCGGACCGATAACTGCAGCGATATGGACTGCTGCGCCCCATTGAATGCGTCTGCAAATTCACGGCTGCACTGTATCAGTCGGCGAACTACTCCTTAACTTGCAGTGTAGTGTAATGTCTTTATGCACATAATTTCTCCGATTGTCAGTTAGCCTGCCTGCCTGCCTGCCTGCTTGTCTGATCAATGAAAGAGTAAATAAATTTCTTGAATGCATTCTCAGAAAACGAGGCAATTGCTGCCGAGGCACAGAGGTCGGAAAGAGTTTCAAGGAACATCATCTGACTGAACGACAGACAGTGATCATGGCGGAGATGCGCAATATAGAACGTGGCATCCTTTGCGTATCATCGATGACCAATAATAATATATGTTGTAGTGTGTCTTCTATCAGCAACATAGCCATGCACAAATTAAGTCGCTCTGGAACCATTCTGCCAATCCATCACAGCAGATTTGCCCCTATGTGTGGGTGCTGCACAGAATGGCTGCCGTTGAATTGCCAAATGGCCTCAATTGTTCAGTTAAGCCAATGTCCGACAAGTGTACCCCACTCAATTTCGTAGTGGCCCTATGCGAATTGCTAATCGAAAGGATACAATGAGTAGTAGTACT